CGCGAGTAACCCCGGTGGCGGTGCTGACCGCGAGTAACCCCGCTGGGCGTTTGCTGCCCTGACCCGGCCGGGGCGGGAAGAGGCAAGGGTGTGGGGCTCATTGTCCAACCGCTACCCTAGTTGAGCAGGCGGAGCCTCTGCGTAGAGCTGCTCCCTCCCGGTTCAGGCCGCAGCTTCTCTGTGGAGCTTAGTGAGGCTCACAGTCCGACAGGAGGTGCGTCAGATCATGGGGTTAACGAATGGTTGTAGCGGCCTCGTGCCCTAGTGACCCCAATGAGGCGGCTCCTCTTCTCACTGTCCTGATCCGTTGGAAAAGTCTTGGCAGGAAGCTTTGACTGGCAGAGACTGAAGTTACTGAAACTGCAGCTTCTCTCACCATGTACTCCAGGGACAAAGGGCCGGGAGCCTGAGGGGACAGGCTTTTGTAAAAGACCGAGGAGAAAAGGGACAGATGAGTACGCATGAAGAATGAAGGATATCACGCAAACATGGGTAGTGAACATTTAAAATGGTTGCCCCGCTGTGTAAAAGTGTAGAAAGTTGCAGATGGAAGCAGTCGCGGTGGAGCAGCCTAAAATGTTCTGGAGCTAGGGTTAGTAAGTGCCATAGGATGACTCTATGCACCTGTGTGTGGTATGTGCCCCTGTGGATGCGTGCGTAGACGAGCTTGTGTTTTCAGGCATGCATGGAGGCCAGAGGTTGACATCCAGATGGCTTCATTGCTTCTCCACCTTAGGCTTTTGAAACAAGGTCTTTCATTGAACTTGGAATTCAGTTTCACATAGACTGGTTGGCCAATAAGCCACCTCATCCCCCATCTCTTCTCCCCAAGATATACGGGTCTCTAGCTGCCAGCACTGAGGTAACAGACACAGAAAGCGATCCCAGGGATTTTTCACCTGGGTTCTGGGAATCCAAACACAGGCCCTCTATACTACCCATTGAGCCATCTCCCCGGCCCATGACTTTTTAAATTTAGTTCTATTGATTCATCTTCAAATTACATGTGTGTATGTATGCAGATGTGTATTTCTATGCTCACATATGAATTAAAGGGATCCTTCTTTTGGTCTGGATTCTCTAGAAAGGGCTAAGAACAGAGACATGAGCAAGCTTGGACATCTGTGGTCTTCTCCACTCAATTCCCTCATTTCCTTAAGTTGCTCACAGCTCTTTTAAAGCTTGGGTGGGACACGGTCAAGATAGAGGATTCACATTGGCCTCTCTGAGAAGGGTCTTGCTTGGATTCAGATCGCTGAACTACACAGTACACTCTCTGTGGCTTGAGTGTAGCAGGCTGGGCAGGATGGGGGGGCGGCAGAGTGGGATCATCAAAAGGGGAGTGTTCTGCCCCTAGGAATCTCAGGAACCTTAGCAGCCTGTAATTAGGGCTTGTGGCATTTGTCCCTAAGGTCAATGCTCAAGAATCAGTACTTTGTCCATCCATAATGTAGAAAGTTAACTATAGGTCAGAGACTAGAACTTTTCCCTCTCTGTGACATTTCCTGCAGTTCGTAGCAGAGTTAGAATTTAAAAGAAGATGAGAGATAGATCTTTCCACGATTTTATCCAGTATTATCTGTTTTAGGTGCAGGGAGGCATTTCTTTTTGTTCTTGTTTCTGTTTTTTCAAGATAGGGTTTCTCTGTAGCATTGGAGCCTGTCCTGTAACGAGCTCTTGCAGACCAGGTTGATCTCGAGATCCGCCTGTCTCGGTCTGGAGTGCTGGGATTAAAGAATCGTGCCACCATTGCTGGCTTGAGGAAGGTGGCCTTGAGGGTCTCACAACCTGACTGGAGAGTAGGGCGTGGTTAGAAAAAGTTCCTGTGGAAAAGTAAAGGGATTCAAGCTGCCATGTGGTTGCATGTTAAGGAGAGTGAGCTGCATTTCTTCCTGGAAAACAAAGGTTCATGTTGGGTGACTGGACATGACTTTGGCTTTCCACCACTGCCAGCCGGGGAGGAGGGCTGCACCAGCCGGCTCAGAATCATTACTGTGTATCACCAGCAGGTTCTTAAGCATAAGAGAAATCCAGGCGTGCCTTCTCCATCCTCTCTTCCGGGGGACAGTGGTGTGTCTCCAGACCACTGCACAAATAATCATGTTCTTCTCTCCAAGGAAACTCGGCCCCATGAATCAAATTTAGGCTTTTATAGCATGTTCTACAGAGCCGACGCGCCATCTAGACCATAGCACTAGGTCTGTCTACAGCAAAGCTTTCACATTGTCATGTCCTCCAGTGTGTGGACTTAGACCTTGGCTTCTTCACTCTTCAGAAAGTTAGATTTGTGACTGCACAGTGACCTTCTTGACGACCATGTGCTCTCGAGAGTCTACAGCTGCTGCACTCTGGTGTGGCAAGACTAACAGTCTGTTTCGCAGCTGCTTCTTATGAGTCATATGGCTCGCATCTGTTCCCTTTAAGTTTGAATTGAGAGACTGTATAGACTGGAATCAAATGGAATATTGAGTATTGCCCTTAATCGAGTAGTCTAATCCGTGCTTTTTTTTCTTTTCTTTTTGAGATTATAATATAATTACATCATTTCTCCTTTCCTTTTTCTCTTTCCAAACCCTCTCTGTACCCCTCCTTGCTCTCTTTCAAACTGATGGTCTTTTTTCCATTAACTAATTAATTCCCATACACATATTTTCCTAAACATATCCTGCTCGGTATGATGTTACATGCATGCTTATTTTCAGGGCTGACCATTTGGTATTGGATAACCTTGCGGACGACTGTTTTTGCTGTTCTCAGTATTTCTCTGTTGTCTGTTAAGTTCTTTGTGTAGGACTGAGGCCTCATTGGCTTTCCCCCATCCATGTTAGCATGTCCATTATTGTCCTTGTCCAGGTGGGAAATCCAAACAGAGATATAGAAAGAAAGTAGGCAGAGCCAAGGAGACACCATGCAGCTGTTGAAGGAGAAAGACACCCAGTAAGAAACTTACCCAGTAAGCCAGATTAATAGAAATTGGTTAATTTAAGATATAAGAGCTAGCTAGGGGGCTGGAGAGATGGCTCAGATGGTTAAGAGCATTGCCTGCTCTTCCAAATGTCCTGAGTTCAATTCCCAGCAACCACATGGTGGCTCACAACCATCTGTAATGGGGTCTGGTGCCCTCTTCTGGCCCGCAGGCATACACAGACAGAATATTGTATACATAATATATTTTTTTTTTAAAAAAAAAGCTAGCTAGGAATATACCTAAGCTATTGGCCAAACAGTGTTGTGGTGTGGGAGAATTGTCTGTAATCTGTCAATTATATTTTAAATAAATGCTGATTGGTCAGGCAGGAAGTATAGGTGGGAAAACCAGACAAGAAGTAGAGGTGATGCAATGAGAAAAGGAGAATTCTGGGAAGCAGGAAGCTCCCTCTGCCACTCCTTCCCAGACCACCGAAGAAGCAACATGTGAGCTGACAGCTGGAAAAGGTACTGAGCCACATGGCTAACACAGACAAGAATTATGGGTTACCATAAGATGTAAGAATTAGTTAATAAGAAGACTGACCTAATGGGCCAATCAGTTTATAATCTTATAGAGTCGTGTGTGTGATTTTCCTTGTGGCTTGCCGGATGTGGGGTACTGGGTGGGACAGAAACCCCAACAAGCTGGCCCTCATACTACAGTGTTGTAATGACTATAGTTTCTATGTGATTATTCGGGTCTGGGCAGCTGGGAAACAAATGAGCAGTCTCCAGTTACAGCCTTCCTCTCTTCAGCTCCTGGCAACTGTACCATAGCAACAGCAAAAGTTAAGAAGGAAAAGTGTTGCATGGCATGTGCAGGGTTTGGAACCTTCATATATGAGGCTGGGAAAGTGCGATGGCCCCACTGCCTTGGAAGAGAGTGTGGCAAAGTGTGAAAGCAGAAACACTGTATGATCCAACAATTCAGCTTCTAGGAGTATACCCAAGAGAAACAGGACACATATTCATGTGAAAACTTACATGTGAATGTTCATAGTTGTGTTATAAAATAGTCAGAAAGTAGGAAAAAACATTTCTATCAATAGATTAATAAATGCAACGTATTTATAAAATAGAATGGTATTTGTTTATACAAACAATAATGTGCAGTTTAATGTGGTGGCGCACACTTTTTATCCTAACACTCAAATGGTAGAGGCAGGTGAATCTGCAAGTTCCAGAGTAACCAGGGCTACACAGTGAGACCACATCTCTAACCCTCCTCACGTCCAAAAAAAAAGAGAGAGAGAGAGAGAGAAAGAAAGAAAAGAACAAGGAAATACAGATACATGACATAGGTGGATCTTGACATTATTTTGAACCCAAAGAGTAAGACCTATGCTTCCATTTATATGAAATGTTCAGGATAGATAGAGGCATTTGAATTTTTTCACCTTTTGTAGATTGTCCCCCCCACCCTTTGTTTTTTCTTTTCTTTTTTAAAGATTTATTTATTTATTATGTACACAGGGTTCAGCCTCCATCTATGCCTGCAGGCCAGAAGAGTGCACCAGATATCATTACAGATGGTTGTGAGCCACCATGTGGTTGCTGGGAATTGAACTCAGGACCTCTGGAAGAGCAGTCAATGCTTTTAACCTCTAAGCCATCTCTCCAGCCCGCTTATATATATATATATATATATATATATATATAGCCTGCTGTGTCCCAGGCCAGCATTGAACTCTTTGTCAGTGAGGATTATCTTGAAATGCAGGTCCTCCTGCCTGTACCTCCTGAGTGCTAGGGTTGTACAACCTGAGCGCTAAGTAAACAACAACCACACATGGTTTATGCAGTGCTGCAGATCAAAACAGGGTCTCCTGCATCCTAGGCATTTTACCCACAGAGCCACATTTCAGCCGACTGGCTCTCTTTTAAGCAGAGGCACAAGATCAGAAATTCCGAAGCATAAATGGTCAATAGTTCTTTCCTTTCTTTTGGTTTTCTTTGAGGCAGCTTCACATACTCCAGGTGGCCTCACACTCACTTGAGCTTCTGATCTTTTTCCCTCCACCTTATGAAAGCTGGGATGACTAACACCTGCCACCATTCTCAGTGGAGATAATGCTGAAAACTGCCAAGGGATAATCAAGAGAAGACTGACCCTCCCTTCTCCTCCCAAAAGATGTGTAAGTACTGTATAGAGTTCTCTACCTATAGATGTGTATGTAGAGTTCTCTACCTATAGATGTGCATGTAGAGTTCTCTGTACCTATAGATGTGCATGTCGTGTATAGCATTCTCTACCTTAGATCTGTATATTCACTTTTCGTTTCTCCATTATTTTAAACTACTTTTTGGCTAAATCTTTATGTCTGAACAGGACATATGGTCTTCTCGTCCCTTTCCATATAATGCCTCAAGCAGTATTCACTGCTTGCCCCCTGGGGACTCTCACTGAGTTTCTACCCTCACTCTCTCCTTAGATTCTTTCAGGTGGAAAGTCTCACCCTCTTTCTCTTTGGAGCCTTTACAAAAATAAGAAAACAGTCCGCTGTGAAAGAAACACTGTGCTTCCTATGGGAAGCACACAGGAGTGTTAAACCAGAGGGAGGGCATCACGGTGCAGAACAGGAGGGAGTGAGAGACAAACATTGGGAGGGCACATTGTTGATTTAATGCCAGTTCATGGAAGCCAATCCGGAGCAGTAGTTCTCAGCCTTTGTGGTGCCAAGACCCTTTAATACAGCTCCTCATGCTGTGCTGACTTCCAGTCATAAAATTATTTTGTTGCTACTTCATACCTGTAGTTTTGCTACTGTTGTGAATCAATGTAATCTGTGTTTTCTGATTGTCTTAGACAACCCCCGTGAAAGGGTCTTTTGTCCCCCACAGGTGGAGAACTGCTATTCTAGAGCAATTGAAAAGCTATTCTGGGGATTGGAGTGGGCTCAGCAGTTAACACTGACTATTCTTCCAGAGATCCTGAGCTCAATTCCCAGCAACCATAACCATCTATGCCCTCTCTGAATGCAGACAGAACACTTATATACATATATCCCAGTACTCAGGAGACAGAGGCAGGTGGATCTCCACGAGTTTGAGGCCAGCCTGGTCTACAGAGCGAGTTCCAGGACAGCCAGAGCAGTTACGCAGAGACAAAAACCTAGAGTACCCATCTTGTGGTCTGAAGGTTTGCAAACCTCTCTGGGCTGTTTGCTTTCCCTCAGTTGCCAGTCAGCATTCTCAGCTTTCTGTTCCCTGGAGGCAGGACATTCCAGGAAGAAAAATGAGCTGGACTTTTCAGGGCTGAGAGCTAACAGCTTTTCCTGAAGCTGTGTTATCCATGTGGCCGTGTGACACACAGAGACCTGGCACGGCCCTGGGCTGGTTGTCAGCTGATGCTGTGTTTGACTCAATGCCAGTAGACTCTTGGTTTCCTGCTGCCAGAGTTTACCCTCTAGTTACCCTTAGGAAGGGCAGGCGGTTACTGGGGTATGACTCCATCCTTTCTATAGTTCTAGCAAAGGGAGGCAGATTTCTGGGACTTTCAAGGCCAGCAAAGGCTACATAGTGAGACTCTGTCAAATACACAAGTTCAAAACAGAGGCTGTGAATGTGCCTCGTCTGTAGAATGCTTGACCAACACGCAGAGATCCCTGGGTTCCACCTCTAGCACGGTGTGCAAGAAATAGATATCATGACTATCACAGTCAAAAAGCTCCCAGACATTATAGCCAGATCCACTTTTATTAGGAACAACTACAATCTCAATTAGTACAATTAGACTCAAGAGTTTATATTAATGAAAATCATCCAAAATTATGCTTGGGTTACAAATAACTATCACCCGTAAAAAGGAGAAAAATCTTCTTCAGGCATGGAAAAGGTTTCCTGCACTGTTTCCATGGCAGTGAGTAGGCACTCCTCTGTGACTGCTTAGATCCCACTTCCCCGGTGAGTGCTGTCAATCTCTGGGAAGAGCAATGAGAACTAAAGATGGTATCTAGAACATATGGATGTGTGGGGCTCATGGTGTACACTACTCCTGTAGAAGGCTGTATGAGACTCTCTGCTGAGGACCATCAAATACTTAATTAAAAAAAAGCTCTAGTCACCTCAAAACTGCCCCTTGAGGTAGGTGAGTAATAGTAGCCCAAAGACTTGCTCAGGGACAGTGTCAGAGTGTCCTCCAGGGTGGACGTGCTAGGCACTTACTTCACCATGAGTGGGAAGTGACACCATCAGGTGTTTATTAGCAAGGGAGGTTTGGAAGACATTAAAGACCTTATCTCTGGGGTAGATTTGTTATAAAGTAGATTAAGAGAGGCCTTGGATTAAGCCACCAGCAGACTTCACTTTGCAAACCTTTTACGCCAACTCACCTGAGCTACACTTTCGGAGAACACACCCAGAGCCTAGCAACCCAAGGAGAAAACTCCCCTGAGCACCACCGCCACCATCACTTGTTTAATAACAGTAACAAGGACGCCAGTGCAATCAAATACAGTCAAGTTACTTCCACTTCATACCAGATTTGAGCATCTACTAGAAACAGCTCCCGGAAAAATTATCCAAACGAAGCCTGTAAAAGATTTCAGCCAATCACTGCAGTCACAATCTACCAGCTAGCCTCTTGTTTACACCCGCTCCATCTTCAGGGTCTCAGGGCTAAGGGAGGGAGGGAGGCTGGGCTCACATGCACTGAAGAGTAGAAAGGAGGTAAGGCACCCAAAGCTGTTAGCACATTATGTGGGAACTGTCAGAAATCCACCTGAGAGGATCTGAAAGTGTCCCTTACCTAAACCTTCCATCACATCCTACCTAAAGCCCCACAGACACGGGGGCCTCAGCCTGAGGTCCCTGTGCAGCCCTGTGCTGCAATATGGCCTGCATCAGATCTGCGGGATGAGAGTGGAGGAGGAAGAAGGTTGTTGTTGTTTCTTATAAATCAAGGATCTGATGACCTGGGAAAGGAAAACCACCCAAAGGCCTTTCCAGAGGGTTAGGTCAGAGGGATATAGGTCAGCAGATCTGCAGTGATCTTCTACAAGATTTTCACCTTCAACGAACAGCTCGAAGCCTGTGTTCGATCAACACAAGAAGAAAGGCTCTGATCTGATTTCAAGTGAACAGAGCGTTTGGCGCTATCCACAGCCAGTCCTAACACCAAAGCCAGGCTTCTGGATTGGGCTACAGGGCAGGAGAGGTTGATGGTTCCAAAATGCTGATGTAATGCTTTCTTCTAGATTTTTCTGTACTATTGTCTGCCCTGAGCTGTGTGATAGGGATGTTCGTTAGTTCATGGCACCCTAGTTACCACATTTCAGTGGAAGCTTTGCAATACACCCTGGCTTCAGGAAGCAGGGCCTCTTTCTGAAGTGAGGCCCTGGGCGATTGCCTGTGCTTCTCGTGTTTTTTTCAGGGATAAAATGGGGAACTTCATCCTCTCACAAGCATTGTACCACCACCTGCCTACATTCATCAACCAGAACCACCTTGCAGAGCCTGCAAGGAGGCGAAAACACACTGTCTACCCCGACTCACACGGAAACCAACAATCGACCATCTCATTCAGCAGATGCTCCACTGAGACAAGCACTTGGCCGAGCTGTTAACTCACAAACCAGCAGATCTCTGAACCATGGTGTTCGAGAGCCTACCAAGCTTTTCCGAAATCACTGTGGCAGAGGCACATAGGGATAGAGGTAGAGAGGATCTGGAGGCCACAAAGAAGCGACACCTGGCTTTGCTCACTCAAGGGACACACCTGTTCTGTGCCCATGGAGCATTGCATCTGTGGGAGAGGAAGGTGCCAGGACAGCAAGCCCCGAGTGCTCAGAATACACTCAGGCAACTTGTCGCCTGTCCAGGGAAAGAGGAAAATGCCAAAGAACAGAGAACTGGCAGCAGAACTCAGGGCAAGGTAACAGCCTCCCAGGCAGCTCACTGGGAGCTGGATGACCCCAAAGCAAAGAATGCAAGAAAGGTTCAACCCCACGAGAAGCCCATCTCTACTCAGTTCAAGGAGAAAATCAGAGTGATGGATGGTACTAACACTTCAGATCCCTGGCAGTGTATTCCCCAAGGGCTCACTTAGGAATCTCCCTTTCAGCAGCTACCTACAGATGCTGTACCTCAACCTCTCCAGTTCCTGTCCAGCCAGGAAAGAAACTGACAACTCCTCTTGTCCTTCAATTTTCCAAGTGAAATATTTTCATGTTCCAAATGAAGATTTTGTTTATATCCATAGTCTTATACCATATCCTCAGAACGCTTACCAGCTATTAGCTATCAGTTCTAGAGACACACTTCACATGAAGATTTTTCTGTGAAGAAATCTTCATGTTGCTAAAAGCTAGCTGCATCCCCCTCACACACAGACCACATAACAGCCCCCCCCCACTCTCTTAAACTGATTGAATTATTTCAGCCACACCAAGCTCTGTGGTTCAGACTTGACTAAAAGGAGGCCATGCTATAGAGAGGGGCCTGGTGTCTGTGTTAAGTAGGCCACTGGGTATGGTTACCCTTTCCTACCTTTCTCCCAGCCTTACTTATGAGCCACACTATAGATGCTAACTCTTGGCTCCAGATGATCTACTTTCTATATATCAAATCAAAAAAAAATTTCCCATTTCATCTAGCAAAGCCTGTGATGAAGTTCCTTAGCAGATAGGGAAGTTCCCGGAAGGTTTTGTTATATTTCTAGTTTGAAGCAGCAATCTCAAAGCTCAGAACAAGGAGAAAAGTATCTAGGAAGAAGAAGCAATATTTCAGACACCAGAAAAATTGCCTAGGCTTTGGAAGGTGGACACAGACCGGTGGCTGGCCGGCTGAGTGCCTGGGAGGTAGACAGAGAGAAAAGAAACCAAGCAAGATGCAATGCAAACAGGGACAGAACCCTGTGCTCATGACCTTGGCCTCAGAACAGCATGTTTGCTGGCTTTTAATACTCTGTGTATAGAATGTTCAAATTTATTGTTATTACTTAAGATTGTTGCGTAAAATTGTATATGCATTTATCATGTCTGTGTTTAGAAGTATCTATCTATATTGAGGCTTGGTTAATCCTAGCTAATTAAAATGCGTTTTACCTCAAAACGTGATCAAAGCTTTTTCATTTTAAAAGAATACTGTACTGGAATAGGTTAAATGCATCATTAGCAGTCTGGTAGCATTATCCTGGAGTTAATCAACAGAATATTAAATCTCTGCCCAGATAACTTTGGGAACAGGAACTGGGGAGCCCCAAACTCAGCTACTCTTGAGGCTCCGATCTCCAGTTCTTTTAATCCTGGCCAAGACAGCAGCCTTGGATACTTTCTTCCGGTCGTAAGCCAGGCCCAGGGCAGCCATGCAGTCGATGAAGAATGTTGTGAAGTTGACGTACCAGCGGTACTCACTGGCAGAGTAGTCGTAGGGGAAGACGTGGTGGTAGTTGTGGAAGCCCTCGCCTGGAAGAGAAGCACAGGGAGCAGTTGGGGGCTCGGTGACTGCTGTTTCCTGCTCTGAACACATCTCTAACAAGGTAATCGGGTACCTCAAACCTTGAAGAAGCTCACTGTTGAGTGCCACAGTCTTGTATTTTAAAGTGAATAGATGCCCTCAGAGGAATCTCAGGAAAGCAGCTGACAGGCTCTGCTCACACTTACCTGTCTGGGAGTCTTTGTCAAATCAAGTTTTTATTATAAGATAAGAAGTTAAGAGAGAAGCTGGGTCTAAGGGAACAGATTTTATGCTGGAAA